TCCCGCCGCCCCCTGTGAGGCCCCCCCTGGCTCGTCTCCCCCAGGTTCGTGCAGTCCAGCCAGCTGGCCAACCACATCCGGCACCACGACAACATCCGGCCACACAAGTGCACCGTGTGCAACAAGGCCTTTGTCAACGTGGGGGACCTCTCCAAGCACATCATCATCCACACCGGTGCGTCCTGCCGCCCCGCCTCCACCAGCTCTGTGGTCCTCGCCCGGGGCTGCCCCCCACCCCGCGCCCCCAGGGCCACATGTCTCCAAGCTAACTCTGACGGGGGCTTTGTTCCAAGCAGGGGAGAAGCCGTTCCTCTGTGACAAATGCGGCCGAGGCTTCAACCGCGTGGACAACCTGCGCTCCCACGTCAAAACTGTGCACCAGGGCAAGGCTGGCATGAAGCTGCTGGAGACGGAGGAGGGCGACGAGGTCAACATCGTCACGGTGGCCTCGGACGACATGGTCACTTTAGCCACAGAGGCACTGGCCGCCACAGCAGTCACACAGCTGACGGGTGAGTCGGGGAGGTGTCTCATCGGGGCGCTGTGGTGTTGGGGTGGCTGTGCTTAGCTCGTCCTGGGGTGTCGGGGCCTGCTGTGGCATGGCCCAGGCTGTGTTGGGCTGGGGTGAAGCACTGGGGACTGGAGCTGGGAGAGCAAGCTCAGTCTCATTTACTTTCCTCCCCCAAACCGCAGTGGTCCCTGTGGCAGCCGCCGTGACAGCAGATGAGACTGAAGCACTTAAAGCAGAGATAACAAAGGCGGTGAAGCAGGTGCAGGAGGCAGGTGAGGCTTCGTGTGGAGGCCAAGGGGCGTGGGCTCAGTGAGGACCTTCACACAACCGGGAAACCTTGTGCTAAGGGAACAAACCCCTCGAGCTCCTTCCACCTCCTGCCCCAGACCTGCCCAGCTGCTGGGACGTGGGAGCCAGTGCCTTCGAAGGGTTTCGCCCCATCAGGTTTGGGGCTCGCTATGCGGTGAGGGCCTTCGGGAAGGGATGGAGCACGCAGAGTAGACACAGGACATCTCCAGCTGCGCTGTCCATCAGCCAGATCCTAGCGAGGCTGCAGGCCCTGCGTGCTTGTGACACAGGTGAAATCAGCTGCTTGCACTGCCCGCAGGGGTGTCCCTGCCTGGGGCTTTGCCAGGAGACCTCGTGGCTGGGGTGAGCTCGCCGGGTGCCGGGGCTCTCCATGCATCCAGTCTGCCCCACACGGCTGTTCCCGGGAGGAGTGGCTCTCAGCCTCGTTAGACTCGCGGCCCCCTCGGAAAATGTTGCCTCTTGCCTTTCAATTTGTGTTATTGACTGGAAAGATGTTAGAACCGTGACAGAGAGCTCAGAAAGCCCCTGTGCGTTTTGTGGGAGGCCTCTGGGTTTACCTCATGGCACCGCAGAGCTTGCACCAGCCCAACACGATGCCTCTGCCATCTGGGCCCCTCCCCACCCACCCCAAGCACCAGTGTGGGCACAGATGGGGCCCTGGGTCGCCGCCCGCCACAGCTGAGCCACTCTGCCCCTATGTCGTTGCAGACCCCAACACCCAGATCCTCTACGCCTGCGACTCATGCGGGGAGAAGTTCCTGGACGCCAACAGCCTGGCGCAGCATGTGCGCATGCACACGGCGCAGGCCCTGGTCATGTTCCAGGCCGACACGGACTTCTACCAGCAGTACGGCGCCGCCGCCACCTGGCAAGCCGAGCAGGTGATCCAGTCCGGGGAGCTGCTCTTCCGCGCCCGGGACGGGGCCGAGGTGCAGGCGCCCTTGGCTGAGGCGCCGCCACCCACCACCGAGGGCCAGGACCCGCCCGAGTGACCGGGTGCCGCACGGGGGAGCCCCCGGCTCGCTCCGGCTTTGCCAGCCGGTTATTTAAGTGAAATGATGTACAAATGTATTTCTGTAAGGAGCACCCCCTGCCCCACCAGGCTCAGACCTAGATTAAATAAATCCCCTTATTTTCTAAACCCTATTGAACCCCTGAACCTTGCCCCACCATCCTGCTTCCCATCCATCAGGTATGTCCTACCTACAACCCTCCCCAGAGGCCCCGGCCGGGGCCTGGGCAATCTGTGAAGCCCTTGATGCTCCGATTCAGCTGCTTTGTGGCCCGGCTTCAGTGGGTGATTGCCAGGGCAGTGCCTGTTAAAGCAAGAGCAGCGAGGTTTAGCAGTTGCACCTCGGTGGTAGAAGAGCTCCCGCCAGCCTGTCGCAGTGAGGGCCTATGGGCAGCGTCTGCCAGCGCCTGCCGTGCCTGTGTCTGCAGCCCCCCAAGCTCATTCGGCATCGTGCCTCCATCCCCGCTGAGGAAGGGCCCTGACCAGTCGGTGGGAACAGACCTCCATTAGTGTGTGGAACGGGCTGCGGACACTGAGCTCACGGCCCGTCGACCACAGACGTGGCTGTCGGCTGAGCCTGTCGGCATCCTTCGGATGTACTGCAGCTCCCCGTGGCTGTCAGTCCTTGTTGCAGGGGTCTTGTGCTCTGCTGGGACCAGGGGCCCCAGTATGGCAGCAGCTGCTGGTCCCTGGCGTGCACCCACTTGTTGGCAGGGTCAGACCCACGGTCCACTGAGCCATGTCCTGTCTCAGGGGCTGCTACAGCAGGACAGCACGGACCTGGATAGCTATAGAGGGACCCATCCCCTTCCTGGCTCCACTGCTACTGGGTTAGAAGCACTAGGAGAGACCTGGGCTGGAAACTGGGTTCCCATGGGCTGGTGGGCCCGAGAGACAGCTGTGCAGCTTGGCAAAGGGACATGACTAGGGACGGCAGCATGGCAGTGGCAGAGCTGGAGAGAAAACCAGCCGGTCCTGGCTGCACTGGGAGGCTGAGTGCTGGGGCCTGGCTCCAGCCCCACACCAAAAGGGGCTGGATCAGGGCCATTCCCCCCACCCCTAATACGCCTCCCAAGACCCCTTAATGAAGCTGGATTAGGGGGTACCCCCCACAAAATGTGGCTGGATTATGGCTTAATCCCTGCCAGCAGTGTGGCTGGTTATGGGAATGACCTCCCCCCCAACACAGTTTAATGTGGGTGGATTAACCCCCATCCCCCTTCCAAAAAACCCTTAACATTACAGGGTGCCTCACAAAAAGTGTCTGGATTATAGGTTCCCTTCCCCAGATGCGGCTATTTTGGGGGGGGCATTCCCCCCACATGGCTGGATTTATGGGGTGCTTACCCCTGCAACACTGGCCCTGGCCTCCCCCAACCCTCATTAATGCAGGTGGATGTGGGGTTCCCCCATGTGGCTGGTTTAGAGTCACCCCCAAGCTTGCTGGATTGGGGGTGACCCATCCCCCCGCTCTTAAGGTGGCTGCATGATGGCGTGCCCACCACGGGGCTGGATTATAGCATAACCATTCCCCCACAGTGTGGCTGCTGTAAGGGAGGGTAACCCCCACACCAGCATGGCTGAATTATAGAGTCTCCCCACCCAAAATGTGTCTGAATTATGGGGTGCCTCCCTCCCTGCCACTATGGGGCTGGCTCTGCCCCAGCCCACAGTAATGTGGGTGGAATATGGGGTTGACACTCTCCCTACCTTAATGGAGCCAGATTATGTGGTCCCCCCCCCATCCCCTGCAAAAAATATCCAGGTTATAAATTAACCCTCTGCCCAGTGTTACTGTTTTAATGGGTTAAACCCCCATCCCTAAACCTGGCTGGGTTATCCCCCCCACCAATGGATCTGGATCACCCCCCCAAACAAAAATGTTACTGGATTATGCGTTAATGCCCCCCTGCAATGTATTCACCTCTGCCCCCCCCTACATACACAGAGGCACTGTTAATGTTGCTGGCTTATGGGGTGTTGATCGGGGGGAGAGGTGTGGCTCTCCTTTTAATGTGGCTGGATAAGCCCCCCCCCTTTAATATGGCTGGATTTTGGGGATCCCCCCATGTGGTTAGATTATGGGACAGAAGTGTCCACATGTGGTTGGATCAGCCTCACGCCCCCTGCTCCCCAGGTGTTCAGGGGCTGGGAAGGGGCTGGAAGGCAGCACCAGCACATGCTGGGGATGGGACAGGAGTGACCTGTGCCTGCAGAGAGAGAGAGAGAGAGTGTGTGTGTGTGTGTGTGCATGCACGCACACGCTTGAGCACATGCATGCATGGGTATGAGTGTGCACATGAGCACAAGTACATGGGTGTGCATGAGCATATGTGCATGTGTGCGTCTGCATGCGCATGCTTGAAAGTGAGTGTGTGTGCGTGTGTGCGCGCACACACACGAGCGCGCGTGCATGAGAGTGGCCTGGAACTGTTTGCTTTGCACAGTGATTCTCCACCCAGGGCCACAGCATCCATGCTACATCCGTGTGCACCCAGGATGCACAAGACGAAGTCAGGCTTTAACCTGCCGGCTCTGGGGTGCTCCCTGGAGCTGCTCCAGTCAAGCGAGAACTCAGCACTGGCCTTTCCAAGGGGGCTGCCCACCGTGCCAGCCTCTCCTGGGGCTCCCTCTAGTCTCAACAGGTCCAGGACAGCTGAGCTAGACGTGTGCAAAGACGCATGCAAGGGCACCCGCAGGTCACAGCAGATTCTTCCTAGTTCTCCACAGAAGAAAGGTAAATCTTTTACAACAGTAAAACCCCACATGGGCAAAGCTGCCCAGGGACAGGGTTGGGGCTGGCGGAGGTGGTGCTGCATGTGGGCCTGCATCCAGCCCACAGCCATGGGTGGTCATGACCCAGCACAGGGCAGGGGGCCTGCCAGGAGGGCAGAGGAGCTGCTGTGCAGCCTTGGACAGGAAGCACCGGACCCTGGGGGCCCAGCAGACCCCCCACAGCCAGAGCAGGGCTCTGCCTCCCAGCGCAGGGTGAAGCAGAGTCATCCCACAGTGGGGGCCGCTGGCCTGCCCCTTGCGCAGCTCCTGTGCCTTTGCATGGCGGAAATTCCTGGGTGCAGCGTTGGGCCCCTCCAGGAGGACAGCAGGCCCTAGGAAGCAGATCCAGGTTTGGCTGCCCAGCTCGTGGTCCTTCGCCTGTTGGGGCCCCAGAGGCAGCTCCGCAGCTCAGCCTTGGTCTGAGCCAGGCCCTAGGGAGGGTGTTTGGGTAGGTGGTCTTCCCTGGGTCCCCACGTATCTGAGCTCTGCAGGACACGGCTGTTCAGCTCCCCGAGCGCAGCCCGAGGCCGCTGCTCCCCACCAAGCCCAGGCCTCCCCCAGAGCCGGGGGCACGGTGCTGCACAGCGCGGGCTGGGGGTCCCGATTCCCTTGTGGCTGGAGGCCTCTGAGCCCCCCTTCCCTGCACCCCTGGGCTGGGGTCGCGCAGGAGCTGGGACACCGCAGCGGTCCCTCGTGAGGAAGTGGAGAAGACCAGTGCCCGCGGCCCAGGGGGACATGCCACGCGGCATCGCTCTTTCCAGGCAGCTCCAGTGGCCGCAAACAAACGTCCCGGCCTCCAGCCCGACGTCTCCCGACTCGAGCACGGGCAGCTGCAACAAGTCCTCTCGGGCCTGGCAAATATGATGGCCCTCGGCCTGCAGCGGCTGGGCAAAGCCAGGCCCAGAAGATGCTGCCCCTGTGCAGAGTCAAACCTGCAGGCCCTTGTTGTGGGGCCAGCACGTGTGCACAGGGAACGAGTCAAGGGGCC